TGTATTTTGTTCCTTAAATGCTCTCAGCTCCTTCCTGCAATACACTCTAGGCTAGGAAATGCCAGTTTGTGACTCACACTGGCATGAAAATGTAGCTTAAACACAACTATCATTTTCCTTCTTCCTCGAGCACAGATTTGGTCCAAAGATAGACTAGGTTGCCTCAGGGAGTAGTGAATTCCACATCACTGGGATTGTTTAAGCTTCTGGAGTCATTCAGATTGATGATAGGGCTAGATGATTTTTAAAGGTCCTTCCACTCACAATAGTCTATGAATTTCACATTTCTAAAGGACTTTAGAGGTTGAGTGCAAGCTACATGCCAAGTTAAGAATAAATAGATGTGAGCTGTTAACAAAATAAGCAGTGAAGTGGGATATTGTTTTTGCTGGCAAGATTTGCCAAGGATAATCTGCTTTAAGAGAACTGAGAGTTGATTCTATTAATGCTCATTGTTGCTCCTTTTTAGAAAGACTTCCATTTGTGCTTAACTTCCAAGTTGTATTTTCAAGAAGAATGTGAAGGTAGGATGAGAGCCTGGTGATAGGATATCCGTCCGGAACCTGAGACGTAAACCAAGCTTTGCATTTGTGGAGTGCTCTGAGGAAATTAGCTTAGTTCACTTTCCCCCCATCTGAGGGTGGTTATCATCATTTCACATCATTTCCTTGTCCCTTTTATCATCCAACCCCTTTCAGATGAGGAAACTGAATGAGAGCCATCGCACATGGTCCAAGGTCAGGGAGGGAAGCAGTGGAGAGAAATCACCGTGTACATCAAGAGAAAACATCAATAGCAGAATGATCAATGATGATTCATCAAGATCCTGTCTTGATGCTGACATTTAGCCTCATGCTTAGCATTTCTGCATGCCCAGCACTCTGGGCATATATCCACCCAGTACAAATTGAATTACTGCTGATGCCCACTTGTAGAAAAACTCAACAAATATTAGAAATAGGAAAAGTCGAATTTCTATTAGAAGGCTCATTTCTCCTGCCAAAACATCTGATCATTGCCTTTACTAATAATGAATTCCTTAATATTTTTGCTATTCAGCAAAAGAAGGATGATAACAGAGACAGAAACGTGAATTTGAAAAAAAAAAAATTACCTCAAATATTTTCTAAGCTTTATGTTTCATTAGAGTAAAAAAAAGAAGCCACAAGAAAGAGACACAATTTTTCTGTGAGTTTTATATATTTGACAGGAAAAAAATTAAACAAAACTATTGAACAATTTATTTCATGAATGTGAGTGGTGGAAAAAGCTATATTAATTTGATGTAGGTTTTATGCAGATAATTATTATTTTTTTTAAAGATTTTATTTATTCATTTGAGAGACAGAGAGAGCATGAGCCAGGGGGAGGGGCAGAGGGGGAGGGAGAAGCAGGCTCCCCGCTGAGCAGGGAGCCCGATGCGGGGCTTGATCCCAGTACCCTGAGATCGTGACCTGAGCTGAAGGCAGACACTTAACCGACTGAGCTACCCAGATGCCCTATGCAGATAATTCTATTTTTACTTCCTTTTCTGAAGGAAGGGTAGTTTTAAATTTTTATTCTAGGTAACTTTTTTTTTTTTAAATGAGATACTTGAAGGACGCCTGTGTGCCTCAGTCAGTTAAGCATCTGACTTGTGATTTCGGGTCAGGTCATGATCTCATGGATTGTGAGATGAAGCCCTGCATCTCTGGTTCTGTGCTCAGTGCTGGGGTCTGCTTGAGATCCTCTCCCTCTACCCCTTCCCCAACTCAGGCTCACTCTTGTTCTCTCTCTCAAATAAATAAATCTTAAAAAAAATACAATAAAATGAGACACTTGAACATAATCAAATGCCCAATTAGATTTGATATGTTTGTCTCAGGTAAACAGGTAGGATAGAGGTATCTGTCAGGTAAACATCCCCCACCTGAGAAGAATTCAATGGAACTTAATCTAACAAATATTTATTGAATGTCTACTCTGTTTCAAACACTAGTATAGTCATCTCACATACAAAATGAAAGATACAGTCACTGTCTTCAAGGACACATGGCTCCTGGAGGAATTCACAGCCGCGTGTGACAGTGTTTCTTAAAACACTGAGTCCCATAGATTCCCATTGTTGAAGCCATTTCTGTTTTCAAAATTGCATTAACTCTTGTCATTTTGTTGAAGGATCTCACCAGTTCTCCCCTCTCAGTTTTCACAGAATGATATGAAAGATTGGATCTGAAAATGTCTTGAGAAGAAACTCTGGCAATATCCTTAAATACACGATGTCTATGTTACTAGTGGAATGGACACTTTTCCAGGATCCAGCCTTTCTAACTTGCTTAATATATTTGCATGCATTTTGACAGGAGCCTTATTTTTTAGTTACTCTATATCTTTTCTTATAAATAACATGCAGCAGAAGAGTCAACAGTAAAATGAGAACAATGACTCCAAATTTAGATATTTTGGTACTTTTGCACGAGTCCTTATGAAAATTGTCTGTGGAGAAGAGAAAAGAAAAGAAAAGAAAGAAAAGAAAGAAAAGAAAGAAAAGAAAAAAGAAAAGGAAAGGAAAGAAAAGAAGGAAAAGAAAAGAAAAAAACAAAAGAAAAAGAACTGATTAATTTGTAGGAAACAAACAAAAAAAAGTAGTTTCTAGGAATACAAGGTGGTGTGTTTTTCCTACTATTAGGACAGGTAATTAAAAGTAATTGAATATGCCTTTCTCCTAAGACTCAGACATCAGTATTTCACTATACTGCAAATCAATTCAGCGTTTTGTACCACAGGACTGTGAAGCCAAAGACAGATCATAGGTTAGGCAGTGTTTTTCAAATTTTGAGTTTACAACTCACCTGGAGGATTTTGTTAAAATGCAAATTGTGATTCAGGGTCTGGGGTGAGGGCTGTTCTGTATCTGCTTTGTCCAGAACTGTAGCCAGCAGCCGCATGTGGCTATGGAGCACTTGATACGTGGCTGGTATGATGAAATTTTTAATTTAATTTGAACACCTGTAAGTGACTAGTTGCCTCTGTTTGGCACAGTGCGTGACTCGTCTATCAGGAAAAGTCAGACGACTGACACATCATTGACCGTCTTCAAGATCTTTCTGACATTTTCTATTTCTTTTTTCTTTTTCCTATTTTCTAGATAGTCGTCTATTTTGATTATTTTTGATTATCTTGAATTTCCTGGTAGAATCTTTGAAAAGCATATGGTACTTTTTTTTTTGGTTAAACCTGTATAGCTCTTGCTGAGGAAAGAAGAGTCAGTTAAGTATGACATTTTGTTGGCTTTTCCATCAGAGGTATACCCTGACAAAGCACAGGACCCAGAGCACATTAAAATGCTCAAGGAGAGCTAATACCCTACATTCACTCATGAAAAAAATCACTTCAGGTGGCAGATATTAGAATAAGGAGATTTATTTTTTAATATATTTTATTTCTCCATTTAAATCAAAAGATTCTTTATGCCTCTGTCTTCAGTTAAAAGGAGAGTGCAAGATACTTTGAAAAATACTGAAGTTAGCAAATAATGATCAGTGGGTGAATCATCTAATTAATGTTTACTCTGAATAAACATAAAGGCCATTCCTTCCAGTGATTTATCCTGAAAAATAAATCTTCCCTAGGGGCATAAACAAAATCTGTCAACTTAGTGCATTAAAATAGGCTCTGGTTGAGTTGACAATACTCCCATAAAATTTTCAGATGATTATTATTAATACATATTTACATAGTATTTATTATGTGACAGGCACTGTTCTAAGTGATTTTAACCAATATTTATCGAACCCTCATGACAATTCTATTAGGTATTAGCATCTTTCCCATTTTATAGATGAGGAAACTGGAGAAGTGGAGTAATTTGTTGAAGGTCAAATGGCTAACACGTAGGAAGCAGGTTTGAGACTTGGCCGAGCCCATGTTCTAAATCCCTGTGCCAGGCTGGGTATTTGGTTTAGGATTAAAGGATAGGATTGCTCCTGTTAGGCTTTGTATTTTCAGAATATTTCCAGAAGCACTAATTCATTAGCAGCCTTTAAAAGATAAAAGCATTTTTATTTCTGTTTTTCCTTATGGTCAAACAATTGAATTTTCTATTTGAATATGGAAAGACTCTGGAATTTAATTCCCAGCTCTGCCTTATAGAACTTGTGTCATTTGGGACAAAATTCTTCATCTCTAAACTCTGATTTTCTCACCCCTCAGTGTGGTCAATCATAAAGCCTACTTCACAATGCTTTTGTTAGAATAAAATGAGAAATATATAATCCACACCAAACACCTTGATTAAAATGTTATCAAGTCCCCAGGAAATGTTAAAGTAAGTAGAAATTTAAATAAAACTTATGTCAGTAAGTGGTATTGATTGAGCCTGGCTCCATATAATAAAATCAAATATAAAAATTGCCTATAAATTTGATGAAATTTAAACATTTTAATCACACCCGTGCACTAAGGTGGAACATTTTACAAAACCTCTCTATTTGGGAAATAGAAAGAAATTAAATGTGGGCGCCTGGGTGGCTCAGTCAGTTAAGCATCCAACTCGGTTTCAGCTCAGGTCATGATCTCAGGGTTGTGAGATCAAGTCTGACGTCACTCAGTGGGGAGTCTGCTTGAGATTCTGTCTCTCCCTCTCCCTCTCTCCCCCCACTCTCAAAAAATAAAATAAAATAAATGGATAAATTGCTTAGTTTCTCCAGTCCATATATGGATGTTATATAATGTGTAAGTTGTAGTCCTAATTTTTATTTGTGTTTAATTGATACATTTTAATGGAGATTCGGATAAAAATGGGTTCAGTATAATACAGGTTCATCATATTCATTCTTTTTAAAAACATTTAGCACCTTTGACATCAAAATGTTACTATGAACAATTGTGCCTACAAAATAAATCGTGTTTAAGGGATATTTGGTACAAGTATCTCAATTGATTACATATATAGTTAATTTTCAAGGTAAGCTTTCTTCTTTTTTTTTTTTTTTTAAAGATTTTATTTATTTATTTGACAGAGAGAGACACAGCGAGAGAGGGAACACAAGCAGGGGGAGTGGGAGAGCGAGAAGCAGGCTTCCCGCGGAGCAGGGAGCCAGATGCTGGGCTCCATCCCAGGACCCTGCAACCATGACCTGAGCCGAAGGCAGACATTTAACGACTGAGCCACCCAGGTGCCCCAACTTTTTTCTTTTCTTTGAAAGCTTAAGGTAAAGGTTGAGGTAGGTATGGTTATAAGGTAACAGGATTTCTTCTATTTTTTAAAATATTATTTCACATGTAAATTACCTTTAGCTTTTAAAAGAGGTCACTTGGAAATTTTATATTTATTTCAACAATGCTGCTAGGACCCTAAATATTTTTGAACTCCTTTTTTTTGAAACTTTCTTCATATTCTTTGAAACATTCATAAAAGTTAACTATTGTGTTCATTCTTCACCTATTTGAAAATAGACTTGAGTATTAGAGAGCACTCAAAGTCATTCAGAACCAAATCTGTGGAATAAGGTGGGTGGTTAAAAATTCTGATTTTGATGACAAAAAGTAGAGTTGACATACAATTTTAATACACAATTACAAAGAAATGAGATGTTGCCAATACATCTAGGCTAATAATCCTAGTATCAACAAGAACTTGCTATAAGGTTCCAGGATTTTCCAGCCACTGTATTATGTACTTAATTCATACCCTTTTATTTACTCTTCACAGCAACTCACTATTATGTTTTGCATAATTCAGATGAAAATAATGAGACTCAAAGGCTTTCATAACATTCTCAAGGTCCATAGCAAAAAGCAATATAAGATTTCAAATTTAGAATTATATAAATCTAAAACTCATGCTCTCTCCACTCCTTACATATTTCTGAAGTAATACTTTGCAAATGATTTAATCATCATGGGTAAGGGTAACATGAAGGAGCAAGTGCCTAATCTATCCAGGTGATGAAATGAAGGGCAATATTTATTCAGATGACGTATTTGTAAAAATAAATTCTATTTCTTTTAGGACACACTTCAATATTATGGTAATTTTACAAATTCAAGTGCAAATCATAAAGTACTGATTTTATCTAGTATTATGTTGAGTCAAATATTTGTTCATCTAAGTGGAACTGGACTAGGAGCTATTGAACTGAATTAAATGTAATATATTTAAATATATATAGTTTGTGTAATGATTAAGTTAAATGAAAATCTTTGTAGAAACTTTAATATTTACTATTTCACTTATAATTGCAATGACTAAGGAAAGCAGTCTTTTAAACATGCTTTATTAAATATGTATTTATTTTTATCATGCCCTTTTCTCTAGAATTCTTTTTTTTTTTTTTTAAGATTTTATTTATTTATTTGAGAGAGAGAGAATGAGAGACAGAGAGCATGAGAAGGAGGAAGGTCAGAGGGAGAAGCAGACTCCCTGCCGAGCAGGGAGCCCGATGCGGGACTCGATCCCGGGACTCCGGGATCATGACCTGAGCCGAAGGCAGTCGCTTAACCAACTGAGCCACCCAGGTGCCCTTCTCTAGAATTCTTAACTACCTTTCTTAATAATACTAAAACCTACTGATTTCCCTTCTGCTTTTCTTAATGCTTATTCTCTAATCTTTTTTTTTTCTCAGTTTGGCTCTTTAAAATGGATAATGCTTGGTTCTGGTATTGAACCATTTTTTCCTTTCTTATTCTTCTTGTTGTCAGATTCACCCAGGCACCTCAAAGTAGCTCGGCTTGCCCTAACCTTTAGCTCCTTTCTTCTCCAAACCTGCTCCGGAACAAACAGCTGCTTTCTCAGTGACTGGTATGATCATACAGCAAATCATTCAGAATAAGAACAAACAAACAGGGGCACCTGGGTGGCTCAGTCGTTAAGCGTCTGCCTTCGGCTCAGGTCATGATCCCAGGGTCCTGGGATCAAGCCCTGCGTCGGGCTCCCTGCTCCACGGGAAGCCTGCTTCTCCCTCTCCCACTCCCCCTGCTTGTGTTCCCTCTCTCGCTATGTCTCTCTCTGTCAAATAAATAAATAAAATCTTAAAAAAAAAAAAAAAAAAAAGAACAAACAAACAGAACAAACCCGAAAAGCCAAAACTCAGAGTGGTCTTTGATTTCTGATTTGGAAATCCCTGTGTGGCTCTCACCAGACCCAGCTCCATGTCCGTCATTTACCAGGGCAACGTTTCTTTTTGGCATTGCGTAGGTGGGGCAACTTTCTCTAGATACTATGTTTCAGCTCTCCACTGTGCAAGCAATAGGGGGAAAATTCTATCCACAGTATGGATAAAATAGAAAAGTTTCTCCCTTCAATGCTTTATTCTCGCCTACCTAAATGTCCCTGCCTGGTGTTTTCTCTTCTCTGTGCTCACTGTCATCTTGGCAAGCGATCTGATAAACCCATCCTTGTTATGCTATAATGATGATGATGCAGTTGATAATAATAACTTATAGCTAGCATGTTTGGAGTGGCTAACGGACACTAGTCATTTGCTGTGCACACTTGTATATAACCTTTAGCTTTATCAACTTCTCTGCAAAGCCAGTATCAATTCTTCATTGATTGAGATCAGGAGACAGAGGCTTAGAGAGGCCCAGTGGCACGTCCAAGGCCACACAGATAATGGGGGGAAAGGCAGATTTCAGTCCATATCAAGAATATTCCAACTGGTGCTCTTTTCCCTATCCCATGTTGGCTATGGCTAAATGCTAAATCTCTTCCAGAATCATTTCCATTTAAACAGAAAGCTTAAGGAAGCAGTGTCTTCAAGCCAATGAGAATATCTCTAAGGCCAGACTTTCAGACTACAAATTTAATTCACATTGTCCATGTTTGTCCATTCTCCCAGCAAGATGTCACTTTTTTGCTTTCCTCGTTTCCAAGACTTCTAAGATTTGTGCTGGCAGACAAGAGACCTAATGACTGGACTCCTTACAAACTTCCAGATCTCCATTACAATAAGCATCGTCATACTCCACATGATCTGACTTGCCACCACATTGACTTGCTATGAAGTTTTTTTAAAAAGATGCAATTATCAGAAAAATTTATTTGCAAATAGTTTAAAACAAATATGAGTTTATTTTCAGAAAATGTTTAGGCGTAGGCAGTGATATGGCTGGTTCGCAGGCTCACTACTTTCATGAAGGGCCTGGGCTGTTTTCTGGTTCTCAATTCCCTTGATCCTTAGCGACCTGGATTTTCACCTCATGGTTGAAATAAACTTCTGCTGCTTCAGACATCAAACCTTCACTCAACTTAGGAAGAAGGGGGAAAGTAGGGCTCTAGCACATCTATTTTCTTTTATCAAAAACACAAAAGCTTTCCTAGAAACCCCCAGTAGACTTCCATGCCCATTTCTTTGGTTGGACTTGTGTCACGTGTCCGCCCCCTGCTGCTAAGAGATGCCAGGCAAGCAGGGTTGTTCTCTAGGGCTGTACACCTGGCTGTTGGACTCGACTCACCAGGTAGAAGTGGACAGTGGATCTGAGATGGGCAGCTCACGGCACCTGCCACACCCTGACAGGTGTTCACATTATCCTCTTATAACCCCAGGCATGAGTGATTACCCCCCACTCCCTCTCATCCTGGCAGAATTTTTGTCTTCGTCATATTTCTATTTTCATTAACTCTCACAAAACCTGGCCTCTTGTAAGTGCTTAATAATTTCTTGCTTATTGGATGCAAATGTGAACCTAAAAACGCTTTCATGTATTCTTCCCAAATCAGCCTTAAAAAAATAGCTTTGAATAGGAATTGAAAAAGAGAAGAAAGAATGAAAGGAAGCAGAAGGAGAGAGAGAAAATGGGGAGAAGAAATTAAGTACTTTATGTTGCTAGCCATCCTGGAAAGAAAGAAATTAAAACTCCAGGCTAAAGAACTCTAGTTCAAAGAGAAAAAGGTCATCTTGACTTTGCAATCCTCAGGTTTCTGCCATGACTGTGGGAACAGGGGTCGCCCTCACTGTCCTTCGCTGGAGCACCTGCTGCGCACTCAGTGTTGGGATGGGCACTGTGGGTCCTGTCAGGGTTCTTTCCTAAGCTTCATTCTGGGAGCATGCAAGAGATGGGAAGCTCTATGGTCAATCGTAACTTTTCCAGTGAGGAAGTATGTCAGTAAACTGTTTTATGTTTTCTTCCCCCCCCAAAAAAAACCCCAAAAAGTTTGCCCATTTCCCTCTCAATTTAATTTGTGCCATGCGTTTTAGGAAACAACTATCTAACGTAGTGCTCCTAAGGAAAAATAAATTTCTGGATGGAACCCACGTAAATATCGAAAGTGAAGACTATTTTGGTTTTGCAGCTCAACTTCTCTCCGCCTTTGTTTTCTTGCTTTGTTCACAGAGGGTAACCAAGGCACTCTATATAATCCAGCGGAGTGTTTGAAAGCGTGAGGTGCCCAATAACAGGGTGGCCCAGGACAGGATTTTTATTTGTGCATCATCAGAGCGAGGCCACTGCCAGAACTTCAGGAGAGGTGGTGTCCTGGCCTGGCTAGTCCCTTGACCGCTCTGCCACAGTTTCAACAACACTAAGCCCATTAGAGTGTAAATAGCAATATGATAAGTCTCCATTCAATTTATAGGGTTTTTATTGCAGGCAGTGGCAGCAAGGGATTCATCTAAGGTGGAATTCCCTAATGACCACAACCGGCCCCAATATACACGCCAATTTAAAGCCAGTGCTTACAAATTGCAAAATACTTGGAAACAAGTCAAGGAAGATTGATTCTTTGGTTATAAATTTAGTTAGTTCCTAGACACTAAATATATGGATTTTTTTTTTTAAGTAGCCATGTGGTTTAAACAAAATCAAGCAAGAAAATCCTCTCCCCATAAATCACATAGTAGAGAAATGTCTTGTCTTGAATTATCTTCCTTAGGGCTTGATCAAATAGTAAGTTTCCAAGCCTATTGTTTTCAATAACAGTCTTTTCCTGCAAACTTCTGTTTGAAATATTTATGCCAATGCTCTAGGGGTTTCTTTAATGGGGTTTCAACATTGAAAAGTGGGGAGTGAGTACTGCAGATGGTGCCTGTATTTGGAGCTATGGTCTCTGAACAAAACCAGCTAATTCATTCTATACTCATCCTGCCTTGAGAATTTTCTGCTTCTCTCATTACTAGCTATGGCAAAGCACACCTGTGGCCAGGCAACACTTGTTTCACATTCGGGGCCCTCTGGG